AGGGTTCGACATGTTCAGTCTTGTTTTGTGGGGCAGTCCAGCACCCGCAACTTCAACGCATATTTGCTTGCAGAATCAACTGATAGAACACAAGGGTATGCTTCTGAACGCTAACCGCCTGGCAGATTGCTGACACCCTGGCATAAGGTGCGCATCACAAAACACATGGACATAGGCTGCAACGAGGCGAAAGGCCTCTCCCACACTGCGCGCGATCGAGCACCAGCCCGCTCATGGTATAACCCGCTCACCCAGTCCTTTCCTCACACGCACTTTTTAACGCGTTTGAGATCATTTCACGCATCAATAGACCGACCACAAGCGCATCAGATTAAATCCAATCCCCTTACAACCCTAAGACCTTAAGACCTTAACTAAAGGCTCAAGCCGTGGTTCAAGACGGGGCTCAAGATGTGGCTCAATCTTAGGCAGGGCAATGCCCGCCAATGAAGCTGGCGTATGGCTCAAGCCGTGGCTCAACTTCTGGAGGGGGTTTAGGAAATTAGCAGCTGCAATTCTGCCCCAAGTGTGTGCATTGTTGTTCAAATCACAAGCTTGACTCCAAGCCTCAACGCTCGTTTGATATGCGGCTGTCCGTTCGGGGGTGCTGTCTTCAAGCTGGGGTATGTGCTTGTTGCATGAGCTGTGCCCCGCCTGCCTTTCTACATTCAAGCTCAAACCAATGTATTACCTCATACTCACGTCTCATGCGCTCCTTCATGCTCTCGGGTGTGTGCCAGCAAAATTTAGCCGGTGGAGCAAAACATTTTGTGCCCAGTTCTACCGCTTGTTTATTTTTTGAAAAAGGCCTCTGAGACATGCCCTTGTCGTCTGTTGTTGCGACATGAGGCAATCTCATTGGAAGTGTAGGCTCAAGTCCCGGAGGGATGCTGTCAGATTTTTTCCCGCCGTTGCGCTATGTGTACTCATGTGTGTTGCGGATTGCAGTTTTGAATCGACATTCCAGCCCCGCTCAAAATTCGATTCCAAAAGTGGCTTGCATTCTGAGTAATTTGATTACAGTGGTGCTATGCAAGTCCGATATTTTTCATGTCATGCAAATTTGCAACTAGCAACTTCTGGTCATCTTGTCTGGGGCCATTTGATGCGAAATCTGGAGTGTGTGATTGCAATTGCTACTGTAGAGTGGCACACTGTCAGCTTTTTGCGTGCTTGCTTTATTCGAGGAAGCTTTGTATGTGGCAATCAGTTGGGTTTGGCCAGTAGCAGATGGGGGTTTGGTCCGGAAGCCCGTAATTTTTTTTT